TGCTGGCGGCGCTTTCTGAGGTTTTGCCATTTCAACGGTTCTTGTTGCGAGAGTGTGTGACTTATGCGATGCATGTACGACAGAATTTAAGAATATTATTTTTTGAAATAAAAACCCCCTCCGGAATTTTGTAACTGAAACTGAAACTATACGCCAATATAGAGTGAGTTTATTAATTCTGAATAGCTAACTTTCCATCAACAGTAAACTGAAACATCGGACTTTTGATTTTGTAGCTCATTTCACTCTGAAATCTGCATGATTTTGAGATGATATCGCAATCTCGAATATACTAGAGTTTGATATTTGATTTTGTCGCCTTCATTCATTTAAGGAGTAGATCTTCTGAACTTCCACTGCACAACTTTCCACTCTTAAATTACAAGTAACCGTAGGTTATAGCATTTCTGAGATATGAGCTTGAGGTCATAAATCGCAAAGCATAAGAACTGAAGACTTTATGTTATTAGTCTCGCGCCATTGTACACCACTGAAAATTACTTTTTCAGAACATGCATCAAACACTGAATACCTAGACATAGCCACACAGACAGATTACGCCAACACAAATAGAGCTTACCTGATGAATTTGTCATAAGAATCCCTTTCATATAAAATCTTATTGATGAGACGATCCCAGCTGGTAGGATTCAAATTATCCATGCCGTATTCTTTCTAAAAAACCAAACTTTTATGCACACTAGAGCTTTTCACAGCGGATAACGAAAAAGTAGAGACCTCCGCCAGTCTGGAAAAGTTCACGTAACGATTAAAACAATTTGCGCAATGCTGGCAATTTTCACAACAGTTTCTTATTTATTTGTTGCAATATGAGCTTGATATAAAATGGATTTGTTGCTTTTATTTTTCGCCACGTCTTTTCAACGATGTCTTGTCCAATTTTAATACTGCGAAAATAATATTTTCCAACCCCATTCTTTCTTCTGTAGAAGAAAAACAAGGAATCCATGCAGCTGAGAAAAAATTAGCGACAACTTAAAACATTTCATGGTGCGTGCCAGTAATCTGAAGCACACGAGCATTGCTGTACTGCGGTTCCGTTCTGACACAAAGCAATATTAACAAAATAGTATTTGCCTGGGCAGGTTTCATACCAGATCTGTGCTAACTTCAAAATGGAGGCAGAAGCTTCTGCATTACAGTTATGCACCAACCTTCGCAGAGTAAAGCAGTTCCCAACGAGGCTCGACATCAATCGTTGCAGCTTTTGAGAGATTCAGAAAATACGTGTGAAAATCAGCGACGCGCTAAAAATATGGAATTTCGCAAATGTGCGAGAGTATATCTTCAGTACATCGAAAAAAGTTGTAAGTGCCAAGAAGCCTACATGGTTATATTTTTGGCGACAGGCTTTTGGGTGTTCACAATAGGTGAATGTGACAGAACACGTATTTCTTCCATCTTGTCACGGCGATTTTTTTAACCCATTCACCGATAATAATAGGAAGCTTAACTAAGTGTAAAGATTTCAAGTGACGAACTGCATTTGAGCCTGTACTGGCAAAATATCAGGCTGTTAGACCAAACCATTCACATTTTTTGTCTTAACATATGAAAATTGCTTTTGTTTTTATTGCTCGTGAAAATTGATCTCATTTTTTCTGGGCCAGAACGACGATTACAAATTTTAGTTTCTTAGCTGCCATATATATGGAGTTGAGTCACTGCGACAGATGAACGCTCACAAATGTACAGGAAAGCACCCACTTGTTTTATTTGGCCCTTATACGCTTTTTGATGATTTTCCTGTTATTTTGACTAATGTTCCATCTCTAACGACACCAATTTACACTTAATCTTTTGAAGGTACAGCAAGATCTCCTAACAGTAGCATCTGGCAAATTTTCAACAGTTTCGAAATGGCCCTAGTGTGCATTAAGCGTTCTGAACACTGCCATTCTTGTACATGTACTCTATCACCTAGCACATTATCACATGATATAATGAGGCAGTGTTGTTTGATTGACGAAAATGTCAAGAACGCGGATTAAAAAAAGACGTACGTAGTTGATGCCTGGCTCAAGTTCATAAATTCGGAAGGCAGGATTGAGGTATGTATAAGTGGTAACGCTTGGTGAAGCGTACAGGACGTTGGTAGGAGTAGATGAGTCATCGTCCATATTTTCATAGAAAACCGTAAAGCTGTCCACGTGAATATGCCCATAGAACTGTGCTTGAATGGTTTTCGAATACCTTAAAACTGAATGCTGGGATCCTTAAAGCTCCTTATAAATTTGGAATTTGTCTGAGCAAGAGATAAAGCAGCAAGTAACCAAGATACGCAAGGCGATCGGTAGGAATATCCTATATTAATGATTTTACCTAGTTGGTCCCACACGTCGAGCGCAGTTATATAAGGCTTAACCTTGCCTGGCATTGCCGAGATACTAAATTTAGGAAAATTAGGGCGCAAAAAAGCCGAAACAGTAGAATTCTGTAAGACAATAGAATAATAACAAAAACTAGAAAATAGTCAACAAAATGAAACCTGTTGACGATTTTGTAGTAATTTCGAGCCCAACTTTCCAGGCACTCGCCGTCACCTGGCGGAATATGGGAAAGAATGTGTACGTATTGTTCATCTTTTTCTGCACGCTGAAGCT